ATAGTTAGTGCCTCTAGGAGAAACCAAAAGACCAGCCATCACTTTCAGAGAGGAAAGCAAGGTATCTGGGGGTGAGGAGGAAAAAGAGAGCTTTTTTTGTGTGTTCCTAACACAAACCTTCTGACTTTTTTTTTTTTTTTGCTGGTACCGTAAATTGAACTCACAACCTCAAACTTGCCATGCAGATGCTTGTGCTGCTGAGCTCAATCCCCAGTCTTTTTGATCTTTTATTACTCAGAAAGGTTCATTTTTATTTAGCTTTTTTTTTTTTTTTTGATAGGTTCTCACTATGCAGTTCAGGCTGGTCTTCAGCTCATGGTGATCCTCCTGCCTCAGCCTCCAGAGTGCTGGGATTACAGCACACCAGGACTTTTAGCTTTCTCACTCTGTGCTTGTGCTTTCAACACTTTCACAATGCTTTTTTAGTGCTTTCCCAGGCTTCTCAGTACAAAGGGTAACAGTTCTGTCTCCTTTGGCTCCTACAGCCTAGTTAGGTTAAAGGTTGTGAGGGACTAGAAGAGCAAAAAAGAAGTTGTTTGTTTTGTTTTTTCCTATTTTAGGCCATTTTTAGTTTCACTTAATTTTTTTTTTTTTTTTTTGTACTGGGGATTGCTTATGACCTTGTACTTGCCAGGCAGACGCTTACACCACTGAGCTAGATCCCCGGCCCAGTTTCACTTGAATTTGTACAGAAGAAGAAAGGAGGAGGAGGAGGAGGCAGGAGGAGGAGAAGAAGAAGAAGAAGAAGAAGAAGAAGAAGAAGAAGAAGAAGAAGAAGAAGAAAGAAGAAGAAGAAGAAGAACAAGAAGAACAAGAAGAAGAAGAACAAGAAGCAGCAGCAGCAGCAGCAGCAGCAGCAACGTGACCAAGCTTGGTGGTGCACGCCTGTAATCCCAGCACTCGGGAGGCTGAGACAAGAGGATTGTCGCTGAGTTAGATGCCAGCTGAGTCCACAAAATAAGTTTGAAGGCCAGCATGAACTGCATAGTGAAACTATGTCTCAGAGAAGGGGAAAAAGAGGAGGAGGAGGAGGAGGAGGAAGAAGAGGAAGAAGAAGAAGAAGAAGAAGAAGAAGAAGAAGAAGAAGAAGAAGAAGAAGAAGCAACAAAGATCCTCACAAAAGTCCAGGCTCCAGGATGAGCATGGGGTAGAGTAGAGTCTGGGCCCCTTCTAATCTAGAACAGTGGCCACACAGCCCCAGGGCAGCTCCTGCCCTGTGCAAAAGCTCTGCTCTTCTGGCTTCCCGCGTGGGTCACATTGAGCCCCTGCAGCTGCCTCCCCAACCACGCAGAATAAACCCAACCCGCTGCATGCGGCTGAGGGGAGAAGCACAAACTTTGGATCAGAAGAGGAACATTTCTTTCCTTAGAGAAAACAAGACTTACACCTTGAGAGGATCCAGGGACAGAAAGGGCTTTTTTTTTTTGTCTTTTTCATTTTTATCAGTACTGGGGATCGAACTCACGACTGCCTGCTAGCAAGGCAGGTGCTTATGCCGCTGAGCTAAATCCCCAGCCCCCAGAAAGGGGGTTTTGACCTTTTTATTTAAGCAGACGGTATTTCTTGCCAGGAATGGTGGCCCTCACCTGTGATCCTGGCATTTGATGATCCTGAATTCTAGCGGACATAAATCAATTTAGTGAGCCACTAAATAAAACAAAACAGGGTTGGGGGTGTAGCTCAGGCAAAGGCTCTGGGTTCAGTCTCTACTTCTGCAGAGAGAAAGGAACACAGAGACAGAGAGAACATGAGAATCAGTCTGAGCTGGTATGTTAGGAAATCTCCCAGGAAGTGGCCAGGAGGATGCTTTGGGAGGCAGTAAAGATGGGCAGAGCCTGGAGGTGGGGCCTTTCTCCCTAAACCAAAGGCCAAGACACAGTTGCATCTCCAAGTCCCTTATTTTATTATTTTTTCAAATTTTTTTTTTCTTTTGTCTTTTTGCCTTTTTATCAGTACCCGGGATTGAACTCACGACTGCCTTCTTGCAAGGCAGGTGCTTATGCCGCTGAGCTAAATCCCCAGCCCCCATTTTTTTTTTTTTTAAAGACAGGGCCTTACTGTGCAATTCAGGCTGGACATGAACTCACTTTGTAGCCCAGGCTGGCCTGAAGCTCCAAGTAATCCTCCTGCCTCAGCCTCCTGAGTGCTGGGACTATAGGTGTATGCCACAATGCCTGATTCTTTGAGACAAAGTCTTTCTAAATTGCCCAGGTAGGATTCAGATTTGTGCTGGAAAGAGGAAAAGGCACGATGCCTACCCTTCTGAGGTAGGTAGGGACTTGCCCTGACTTGTCCATAGCTTCATAAGTCACAAAGACAGCTCTAAACCTGTGGCAACCAGAGGGCAAATGAGAACAGGGATTCCTATATCAGCCAGGGTGAGAGAGCAATGCTTCCCTGGGAAGGGGAAGAAGGGAGCAGGGGTGAAGTTGGCTGGATGGGGTGAGCTGGGCTCCTCACGAACCCTCTGGCAAGTCGTTAGGCTTAGTAGAAACAGAATGAACTTGCCCTAAAGCAGATCATGACCACATCTCACAGTCCAGGGCTCTTTCCTCTCCTATGTGGCTGCAGCTTGCAGGGCTCTGAAGAGGCCTAATTAGGGGGACAAGCACTTGGTTAAAGTACTACATTTCTTTTACTTCCTCTTGGCAGCTAAAGACAGTCCTGGAACCAAAGGTCACCACCCTTGACCCTTCAGTAGACAGCGGCGCAAATGCAGCTGGGGGCTGAGCTTGTTGGGGTCTACCTGATCCCCAGCACTAAAACAAGAACAGGTCAAAACCCACTTTTCTGCTCAGGGGTTCAAACCCTTGGGGGTCTCGCACACTAAGGGACACTCTTAACGCTAGCCTCTGCTCCCAGCTCCAGCCAAGCCTTAAAACAAAACAAAACTGATTGTCTGACCCTGATTTTTATTCTAATCCTTGGATTTGGGAAACAGTTCTGTTTGGTAATCATGTGGGTGAAGGTGAGGGCCTTCAGGGTTTGGGTTGGTCAGCCTTATTGTTTGCGTTTCCTCATGGCTACTCTGTTTTCCCCAGGAATGGGAATTGAACCCAGGGCTTCCCCACTGACCTACAGCCCGCCCCAGGCCTGTTTTGAGACAGGGGCTAGCCAAATTAACTGCCCACACTGGTCTCAGACATTCCATAGCTACACTGCTATCTGTTTCCCAGAGTGTTGAGATTACAAGTAAGCACCACACCCAGCTTTTGTGGTGTTTTTTGTTTTTGCTCTTGAAAAAGAGAAAAAGCAGGATTTTGCTATGCAGTAGAAACTGATTCTGAATTACAGATATTAAGCTTCCTGACTTTGGAGATAGCAGGTGTTATTCCACATGGCTAGCATCAATGTGGTATTTTCATAAATGTACATGACATACTTTGATCATATCCATCCCCCTATTCCCCTCCCTTACACCCTCTTCTATCCTAATTCCCTTCCTCTTTTCTTTCTTTCTGAGACTGTGTAGTTCAGGCTAGCCTCAAAAGCACTATCTAGTCCAGACTGCCCTTGATTTCTGGATCTGCTCACTTCAGCCTCCTGAGTGCTGGGATTACATGTGTGTGCCTAGACTGATTATATTTCCTAAAGCTGCATTTATTTTATATTACTTATATAATACAAAGTTTAAAAGCAAAGTTCTTGAAAGAAACATTTCATGGTAACCCTTAGGAGAGATAATGATCTTAACTCTACAGATATATATATATATTTTTTAACTCTACAGATACTTGAAACTTCCTAAAATAAATATCTATTCTTTCAGTACTCTGGGAGGCTGACAGGGGAGGATCAGAAGTTCCAGCTCAGTCTGCACAATTTATGGACTTAGTGAGACCCTGTCTCAAATAAAAAATAAAAGGATGAGTATGTAGCTCAGTGCAAAGGCCCTGGTTTCAGCCCGCAGTACTGGGGTAGACTACACTCTGAGAAGTGTATGTTTGCTCTAAAAATGCTGCCCATAGTCAAGTCCTTACACAGGCTGGTTACTGAACCTGCACTTTTCTTCCACAATTATTCTAAGAGCCACTGCTAGTCTGCTAGTGCAGGAGCTATAGAAAATAACCTCTAAAACAGGGATGAGACCCTTTTTTGAATTGTAAGGATGAAATGAATTAACACCGATAACTAACTTACTTGGAACACTAGATCCTAAGAGCCCTAGGAGTGTCCGGGGGTGAAAAGGAACAGAAAAGATGGAAAAGAAGGAAAAGAGCCTGCTATTTATTTATTTATTTTTGAGACAGGGTAACACTCAAGGTTCAGGCTGGCCTTGAGCTATGTAGTGAACTAATGAAAATCCTCCTATCTCAGGCTCTGGAGTGCTAGGGCTACAGGTATGCACCACCAAACCTGGCTTCTGGGAGCATACAGTAAACAGCAAAGAACGCTGAGACTCCTGGCACAGGCCACATTGTAGGACTCAAGGCTACCTCTGGCAGATGGCAGAGCCTGCAGGGCAGGGTGTAGTAAAAACTCCAGAATTAGCAGAATGCAGGGGTGCATGCCGTATTCCCAGCATTTCCGGAGGCCGAAATAGGAGAATCGTTAAATTCAAGTCCTGCCTGGGCAATTTCGTAAGACTCTGACTCAAAATTACAAAAATTAAAATTAAAAAAAGGGACTGGTAATGTAACTCAGTGGTGGGACTGCGCCCATGGGTTTGATCCCCCGCACTATCAAAAACCTAAAAAAAAAACCTTCAGAAATGGGCCGGGGAGGTCATGATTCACAGTACTGCAACGGCTAGCGTCAGAGCCCAGGCTATATCCCACTATCTCCTCTAAGATCCATGTCGCGAGAAAGTTGCAGCGGACTAACGGCGGTGGAAACTACATTTCCCAGACTGCAACTGGGCACGCCACATTCCGCCTTGCCCTGCGCCGCGCCAAGTCCTGCTGGAAGTCTCATTGACTTCGGGGCCCCTCTCAAATCCGCCCCTTCCCCTCTTTCTTGTAGGTCCTGCCCCTTTGCTGGGCGGATGACCTAGCTGAGGCCCAGGAGCTGCTTCCTTCTTCTCTCTCATTGGCCTAGTCTAGCTGTCATTCGACAGAGAGGCAGAGAAGTTGCTTTCTGATTGGTGAATGCCGTTTGGCGCCAACTAGGATAGGGGGGCGGGCAGCGGCGGACCCTTGGAAGCAGCTAATACCGCGAAAAGCCACTTGGGCTGCAGAGTAGGAAGGTGAAGGTCGGCAAGTTTCCCTCCGATTCGGCACAGGAGCAAAAGAGTGAGAAACGTGGAGAGAGTGAGGGGGTCGCTTCGGGGGTCTCTCCCGCTCCCCTTCTGCACCAGCCACACTTGTTTAGATTTAGTCTTCGGGTTCCTGCCGCCCGCCCACCTGGCCTCGCGGGGTGAGAGCCGCGCCCTGAGCTTGCGGCTGGATCCCCGCCCGCGCCGCCTGCCCGCGGCCGCTGCGTCCCGGAACCGCGGGGTCGCGTTGAACTTTGAGCCACAGACGCGGAGGACGGAGCGGGAACCTGGGAGGCCGGCGCCGCCATGGAGCTGGGCCCAGAGCCCCCGCACCGCCGCCGCCTGCTTTTCGCTGGCAGCCCCTCTCCTGTGTCGCCCGGGGCCGCCCGGCCGCTGTTGAGCGCGCCAGCGGCCGGGGGGCTGTCGCCTGTCACCACCCTGGCGGTCACCATCGACAGGCTGCAGGCCCTGGGCAGGTAATGGGTCCGGGGAGCCGCGGCGGGATGGCGAGGTCGCCCTGGGCACCGTGCTGACCGAGGTGGGGGCTTCCGCTTGAGTCAGGCCCAGGGAGGACTCCGTGTGTCGCCTTGTCCCCTCTCCGCTCGTTTGTGCCCTCGTCCCTGTCCAGGCAGCTCCTGGCCATTGCCGCACTTTCCCCCGCTGAGCCACGCAGGACCGTGGTTTCCCGGAGTTTTGTTCCTGCCCAACAGAGGGGCCGGCGTTTTCTCTCCCGGATCTTTGTGGCTCCTCGTGTTTCCGATGTCCACTTCTCCATGACCCGAAGTCTAGAGCCCACCCCCGCCCCATGCTGGAAATCTCCCTGGACTGCTTGCAGCCTAAAAGGGCACCCCACAGTGTGTCCAAGGGCGTTATCAGCATAAGCGCCTGCCTTGCAAGGGCGCTGCTTTCTTGCGATCTTGGGCATCTTATTTTCTGACACCAAGTGTGGTCTGTTTCCCAACCTCTGAAAAGTGAGGCATCCCATCTTGTATGCCTTCTGCTCCTTCCAGCTCTGCACCTCGAGTGTGGGCTCTCAAAGAGCACCCCAACAATGGACATCTTCACTGCGTCCCTGTGGCCACCCACACCTTTCTTGACTTGAGGGCCAGCTAGGTGTTGGGGTGGCAAATTGGGGTCAGTGGCCTGGCAGGAAGGTTAGGGTGGTTCTGACTGCCTGGCTGTTCTACGGCTCACCTCCTGCGTATGATCTTTACTTGTGTCCTGGTGATCACTCACATGGCGATATTCCTCTTGGTTTCAGTGAGTGTGAGCAGCCGCTGGAGGTGAAAAACAGCAGCAGTCTGCAGAGAATGGGCTCCTCTGAATCAACTGACTCAGGTATTTTTGGTTTTTAGAGATAGGGTCTTGCTGTGTAGTCACTAGCCCAGGCTGGCCTCCATCCTCCTGCCTTTGCTTCCTGAGTGCTTGGATTACTGGATTGTGACATTACCTGGTTTCAGGTATCCTTTTAGTCTAAACCCACGTGTCTGCCATGCGGACAGCAGTACCAGGAACTTTTCTTGTAACGTTCCTTCACCCAAGAACTATAAGTGGTGCTCAGAATCTTAATGGGGTAAAATGAGGATCAGATCATCAGAAGTGTAATAAAATCATTTCAGTGATCCTGGCATGCAGGAAATGTGCTCACTCTGCTTTATGAGTTCATGTGCACGGGTGCAGCGTTTAGAACACAAGTTGGGGAACTGCCAAAAACAGAAGTCCTAAAATGTAGTTAGTATGTACAGGGCTTTCTCTAGGGGTATAATAGGGATGGACTGAACCCAGGGATGCTATCACTGAGCTACATTCTCAACCCTTTCTGTGTTTTTATTTTTTCCCTTTGTCTTTTTGAGACAGGGTTTTACACTCTGCACTTCAGGCTGACCTTGAAGTCACTTTGTAGGCCATACTGATCTTCCTGCCTCGGCCTCCTGGGTAGCTAGGATTACAGACATGTGCCATCACCCTAGTTAATGATTGCTTTTTTGTTGTTGATACCAGGAATTGAACTTGGGCCCTTTATACTGAGCTATATCCCATCCCTTCAGAGTGACTGAATCTCACTAAGTTGGCCCACTAGGCTCAAATTTGAGATCTTCCTGCCTCAGCTTCCCAGAGTGCTGGGGTCACAGCCATGAGCCACCACACCCAGCTAATTTGTATTTGTTAACAAAGAAATAGCACTGAGCCATGGTTTTTCTTTTCCCATACAGGTTTCTGTCTGGACTCTCCTGGGCCCTTGGACAGTAAAGAAAAGTATGTGTTCACTGCTTTGGGACGTTTGTACTTCCAAGCCTTCCTTAATGTTTAAGTGAATTGTTGATGTTGTGGAGCAGAGCCCTAGTTAGCTGTTCTTAGATCCTAGAAATGTCTTGTGAATGAGTAGTTTATATTAGCAGTTTTGAGAACTTTTTCTCCTTCATGTAAGCTTTAGTTCTGGTGTTTTGGGGTCTGACCTGAACTCTACCTTCTGACATTAAAACCCTTAAGAGAATGTGTGTTTTGGATTTTTCTAAATAGGGTCTCACTATGTAGTTCAGGCCAGTGGCAATTGCCTTGCTTCAGCCTCCCAGGTGCTTTGATTACACTAAACCTGGTAAGAGAATGTATATATTTTAAGAGAACACTGGGGGGCTGGGGATTTAGCTCAGCGGCATAAGTGCCTGCCTTGCAAGCAGGCAGTCGTGAGTTCGATCCCTGTTGCCGATAAAAAAGGAAAAAGACCAAAAAAAAAAAAGAGAGAGAACACTGGGCTGGGATTGTAGCTCAGCCTCATGAGCACCTGCCTGGAAAGTGGTGAGGTCATGAGTTCTATTCCTGGTACCAAAAAAAAAAAAAGAGAGACAGAGAAAAGACTCCAAGTTTGCTTGGGTTTTTTTTGGAGACAGAATCTCATTAAATTGCCATGTTGCCTATGTTGGGCTCAAGAAATGATGTTTAGTGTTGTTAGATCTCAAAGTTTTTTGTTTTTCTTGGTTCTGGGGATTGAAGCCAATATCTTTACAATGAGCTATATACTCAGCATTTTTGGAAAAAAAAATTTTTAAGATGGGGGTCTCGGGCTGGGGATTTAGCTCAGCGGCATAAGCTCCTGCCTTGCAAGCAGGCAGTCGTGAGTTTGAGCCCTGGTACCGATGAAAAGGAAAAAGACAAAAATAAAAAAATAAGAAAAAAAAAAAAGATGGAGGTCTCACTATTTAGTTCAGGCTGGCCTTGAATTAGCAGTGATCTCCGCACTGGGATTACAGGCCTATGCCACAATCTCTCCCACCTAGGCTCCCCTTCTTTTAATTTTAAGACAGACGCTAAATTGCTCTGGCTGAGCTGAACCTCGATCGCCCCTTCAGTCTCAAGAGTGCTGGGATTCCAGGTGTGTGCCACCATGCCCCGCTCCAAGTTGGCTGTTTTACTTAGAGCCTCCCAGTTGGGTGCTTCAGGAAATCTTTTTTTCCATCCCTTGTTAAAAGGGATTTGAATCTGTTTGACTGGTCCCCAGCTTCTGAATAAACCATGTGTCTGCTAATATGAATACCTCTTGGGATGCTTTATTCTAATTATTTACCTTCTGATCTTATTCCAGCCTTGGGAATCCCCTGAGGAGAATACACTCCCTGCCTGTAAGTTAGTTCTTGGTTATTTTGAGCTAATGCCTGTTGTTTCCTGCCGAAGTTAGGAAGAGAAAGCTACTCTTATGCAGTCTTCAAAGCGCTCAGGATACTGCCTAGAGCGCTGAATAATGGCCACCTCTCTGAAGGACTTTGTCCTCTGTCAGTTTTAGCAACCAGGAAGCTTTGTACAAATGTCACTGGGGGTGGAGGCAGCAGTAACTGGCCCCTGGCTGGGAAGGGCTTGGGCCTTGTGAGATTGGGTGTCTTCCTGCCCTGCCCCGTCATGTAGGAACCTGGTGTTCGGTCCCTGTTCCCTTATGTGCTCTTCCCTTCTTTCACATCAGCAGAAGCTCCTGGGATGCAGCCCAGCTCTGAAGAGAAGCCATTCTGACTCGCTTGACCATGACATCTTTCAGCTCATTGACCAGGACGAAAACAAGGAGAATGTGAGTGGTGGCTGTGTGCTGCCCTGGGGCAGAAGAAGCCTGTGGAGAGCTTTCTGGAAGAGGTGGCCTCACAGCTTCCTTTCCTATTTAATTTTATTTTGGTTTTTGGTACCAGGGAGCAGCTCCAGGACCTTTGTGCTCAGTTACATTCTCAGCCTTTTGTTTAATGTTTTATTTTGAGACAGAGTCTCACCAAGTTGCCCAGGCTAGGTGTACATTTATAAATCCTTCTGCCCCAGGCTCCCAGAGCATTGGAACTATAGGCATGTGCCACTATGGCTGGTTTCCTTTTTATTTTTTGCAGTCCTGAGGAGTGAACCAAGGGCTTTCGCACTGAGCTACCCCTCTAGCCCTTTATTTTTCATGAGATAGGGTCTTGTTAAGTTGCTACATTATGCAGGCAGGGCTCAAACTCCAGGTCTTCTCTGAAGACCTAATATGGATGACTTTGCACCCGATAGGCGTCCAAAAAAACCAGGAAGTAAAGTGAAGTTTTCCTGTATTCCATGTTTTGTTTTGCTTTTGGAAGATATATTGTGGTACTGTGAATCTTTTTCAGGATATTTGCAATGAGTCACATCCCTGTCTGGCCCTTTTTAAAATTTTAAAACAGTCTTCCTAACTTGCCAAGGCTGGGCTCAAACCTATAAACCCTCCTGCTTCAGCCTTCCAGAGTGCTAAGATTACAGGTGTTTGCTACCGTGTCCAGTGCATATGTTTATTTTTTCCCTTCCCTATTAAAATGCTACAGTTCTCTATCCTCACAATCTTCTAATTGAGCATAAAGCCATCCTCCTCCACGGACTCTGCTGGCTGTTTAGCACCCTGGCAGAGTGAGAGTATGGTGTCTAGCCTCTGTGTACCCTCTGTGTGGAGCTAGACCGAGCCAAGGCTGATCTCTCTTTCCCAGCCTTGCCTGTCTGAGTCTGTTCTGGAGGGAGAACCAGCCACAGGTGGCCAAGAAGGAGCCTCTGCTGTCGTCCTGTCTTCTTGGGGACCTTGGGCACACTAGCCCGAAGGCCCCTTTCTTCTGTAAAGTGGGGTAGTCAGGGTGTGTTTGGTGGCTAAATACAGGCATGGTGTTTGTGGTACAGGTAACTGATATAGCTGTAGCTTCATTGAGGAACAGATTCTGAGTTGGGCATGATGGTACACACCTGTAATCCCAGCTCTTGGGAGGCCGAGGCAGGAGGATCACTGTGAGTTCAAGGCCAGCCTGGGCTCCATATTGAGTCCCTGTCTCAAAAAAAGGGAACAAATTCTTAAGCGCATAAGCGCTTCTGAACTTGAAGCAGAGTCATATCCTGTGTGTTTTGTCACACATGGTTTTGATTCAACATTGTGAGAGAATCAGCCATACTGAGTAAATCTGTAGGCTCATTGTTTGGGGGAGCACAGTCTCACCCAGTTGTTAGTTGCCTACTCAGGATTCAACCTTCCAGAGCACTGGGATTGCAGGTGTGCACTAACACTGCCACAGTGACATTTCGAGTAGGAAAACTTGTTCCCCGTGGTAGGAAACATGGAGATGTTGCCCTCAAGCAGCTGTAAATGAAGGTTGAAAGTTTTGGCAGCTCAGACACCACTGGGGAGTTCAGGGAGCCTGTGATTTATTTTATCATTCACAGTGTTTTACATTCGTGGCAGATATATGCCATGGAGAAGATGCTGCTTAGTTATTGTCACTGTCACCTCCGTGCTGGGGGGTGAAGCTGGCTCCTCAGGGGAGCTGGGCGTGCACGATGAGCTCTGACCCCAGCCCTGAGGTTGCCTTAGTGCTTCCGCGTGGACAGTGCCACAGGAGTTCTGGTGACACAGGCCCAGTGCTGAGGGCCATCAGAAACCAGCCAGTGCCTGGGGCAGCAGTGACAGGTGATCAGCACCTGTCCCCTCACTTGCCTCCCCAAGTCAGAGCTGAGACCCTCGAGTTGGTGTCGTGAACTGTGGGTGTCTCAACCGCGCTGTCTTGCAGGAAGCCTTTGAGTTTAAGAAGCCAGTGAGACCCTTGGCCCGAGGCTGCCTGCACGCCCATGGATGTGAAGAGGGCAGAGAGTTCTTCACACAGAGGCAGAACTCTGCCCCGGCTCGGATGGTACGTGCGCTGGCTTTCGCAGGGGCGCTTTCTGGTAGAGGACCAAAAAGCTTTTTTGTATTTGGTTTTTGTTTTGTTTTTTTTGTTTTTTAATTTTTTTGCTTTTGTTTGTTGGGGTTTTTTGTTTTGTTTTTGTCTTTTAGATAAGAGTCTCACTGTGTAGTTCAGTCTGGCCTCTTATAGGAATCTTCCTGCCTCAGCATCTTTAGTACAGTCATGGGCCACCACACCCAGCAAAAAAGCAGGCTTTTAACCCCAGGCTGAAGACAAGATAGTAATTCTACTCACCTTATCTAGGTTCTATATGTTTGGAAAGGAGACTCAAAACATTCTTGGCATTTTCGCAGAGAGAATCTGGAGATTCTCATCCATGGGCGTGCAGAATCTGGAGAGCACAGAGGCCAGAAGCAAGAGTGGGACCGGTTGTTAGACCTGGTCCCTATGGGAGGATGACCCACAGTGGCCCTGGGTGACACTCCCGGGGTATGTGATAGGACCCTGTCTCCTGATGAAAGTGTGCTCTTCGCAGTGCTTCTGTGTGCTGAGGTGCTTCTCAAAGCTTGATTCTACTTGGAGAGAAAACTTAGCTTTTTTAAAGGTGGTTTATTATGAACTGGTATCTCACACCTGGAATCTAAGCCCTCTGGGAGACTCAGGCAAGAGAACTGCATGCAGATTTGAGCCTCCCTGGGCCACTTAGCAATTTTAGGAGATTTTTTTATTTTTTGTTTTTGGTACCAGGAATCAAACTAGGAACCCTGGGATTGGCAGGCAGGTGCTTGTGCTGCTGAGCTACATCTCTAGCCCCACTTACCAATTTAGTACAATCCTGTCTCAAATGTTTGATTAGAAAGTATTGAAGAGTTGGGTGCTAATTCCAGCACTCTGGAGGCTGAGGCAGGAGGATTGCTGTGAGTTCAAGACCATCCTGAACTGCATAGTAAGACCCTGTCTCAAGAAGACCAAAAAAAAAAAAAAAGTATTGAAGACATGGCTTAGTCTGAAGATCCTGGACTTAACAGCCAGTACTGCAAAAAAAAGTTGTAGGCTGTTTGGCAGTTTTAAGAGTCACTTGTTTCAGCTATTTTTTTTTATTTTGTTTTTTTGTTCTCTTTTTTTTGGTACCGGAGATCAAGCTCACAACCTCGAGCTTGCCAGGTAGGCGCTTATGCCACTGAGTTAAATCCCTGGCCCTGTTTCAGCTATCTACATCCCATATTGTTCTTCTAGTTTCCTACTGCTGGTCTGCACTGGGTCAGCTGACTGTGTCTGTTTACACTGGGGAGGCCCAGCTCCAGCAAAATGACCACATTTGGTTTCTAGGTTTCACTGAGTGCTTGCATATGAAAATACACACTTCCAGGGCTGGGGATTTAACTCAGCTGCATAAGCACCTGCCTTGTGAGCAGGCGGTTGTGAGTTCGATCCCTGATACCGTAAAAAAAATATATACACTTCCAGGCCGGCTCTTGGATGGAGAACCAGGTTTATCCAGTGTTGCCATCGTGACCAGCTGTTCAGCCTCGCTGGTCTGACTTTCAGTCGAGTTAGAGGGCGTTTCTGTGTCCTTGCTTTTAGACCCCAGATTCTATCTTCTTGTAAGGGCTGCTGGCTATAGGAAGGGATGAGGTCCCACAAGACCTGGCTGTCTCCTGCTGGCCTGCAGTGAAGTCACCCACCCCTTTGCTTAGGAAGTCCCCTGGAAGGAGCAGGTGCGGCCCAGGGTGTGTTCCAGAGTCTGAAGCCAAGCTGATGGCTCCCAGGGTGGCCAGGCTCTGGGCAGGGGTTCGTGAGTAATCTGTCCAGACAGCTGGAGACATAAAGGACTGGCCTTTGTGCCACAAAGTGACAAGGACTTAAGGGTTAGTTTTAGGACTTAGAACAAAGATCACCTTGTCACTGTTTTTAGAAAAGTGTGTATTTTTAAATTTATTCTGACTTTAAAAATCTGAAATTTTTAGTGGTGTTTAGATATATATTTATGAGCGGGTTTGCGGGGAGGATTCTTCTCCCCTAAATTTTATAGACTTAAGCCAGCTGTGGTGGTGCACATCTGTAATCTCAGCACTCCGGAGGCTGAGACAAGAGGATCACCTTGAGTTTGAGGCCAGCCTGAACTGTAAAGTGAGACCCTGTCACTCCCTGCCACAAAGTTTTTTTTAGACTTTATATTACATTAGTCTTATTGAGGATTTCCCCCCAAAAAAACATAGTTTGGCATTTGTATTTCGGGAACGAGTCTCCGTCCTAGCAGATGGTATAGGGTGGAGAAGGGCTTCAGACAAGTTAGACAAGTTAGGTGTCAGACAAGTTAGGTTTGTGATTTTGGTAACTTTAAGTGTCAGTTTTCCAGAAGAAAAGGACTTGCTAGGCACAATGATGCTTTTGTGTGGTCCTGGCTACCAAGATAACCTGGAGCAGAAGGATAGGTTAAGTCCAGGAGTTCGAGGCCAGCCTGGGCAATGTGAGACCTTACCTGGAGAAAAACAAAACTGGGCATGATGGTATGCACCTCTAATCCAGTATTGTACTCTGAAGGCTGAGGCAGAGGATCACAGTGAATCCAGGTCATCTAGAATTAGAGTTGAGACCCTGTCTCAAAAAAGGGGGGGGGGGGGATATGGCCAGGGATTTATCTTAGTAGCACAAGCCACCTGCCTGGCAAGTGTGAGATCATGAATTCAATCCGCAGTACCAAAAAAAAAGTAAAGGATTAACTAAACCAGACTAAGTGGTGCATGCCAGAAACCCTACCTCTTGGGAGACTGAGGCAGAAGGATTGTTGCAACTTCAAGACCAGCCTAGGCTACAAAGTGAGTTCGAGGCAAGGAAAGAAGGTTTGGTGGCACAGCCCTGTAATTCCAGCACTGTGGGAGGCTGAGGCATTGCCCAAGTTCAAGCCCAGCCTGAGCAAGACTGCTTCAAAATAAAGGATTGGATATAACTCAGTGCAGAGGCCCTAGGTTCAGTCCTCAGGACCACAAAGAAAGATAAACTACCCTCAGCATGTTGAGGCTGAAACACAGTTAAAAGCTGAGCAGCTGTCTGTTTTGTTGTCTTTTAGCTTTCCTCAAATGAAAGAGACAGCAGTGAGCCAGGAAGTTTGGTTCCTCTTTATCTGCCCCAGTCACCCGTGACGGCCACTCTGTCTGATGAGGATGATGGCTTCATGGACCTTCTTGATGGAGAGAATCTGAAGGTACCGTGACTGTGTGTGTGTGTGTTGTGTGTTGTGTGTTGTGTGTTGTGTGTGTCTGGCCACCCCACACTGAGAGGCAGCTCCAACCCCATGGGCCTGGAGGAGTCAGGAGATCCCCATGTGCTACTTCTTACCTCGAAGCAGTGGCAGCAGATGGAAGGGCCTATGGAGACCTCGTCAGTCTTCATGGGGGACTGTCAGCTATGTCCCCTCTGGCTGTCATCTGCCTTGAGCTTTGGGAAGTGGAGGCGGGGGAGACTTTGGCCCAGTGTGTGATGCTGGGTCTCAAAGCCATTTTCCCCCCGCTCTGCAGAATGATGAGGAAACCCCATCGTGCATGGCCAGTCTCTGGACTGCTCCCCTGGTCACAAGAAGAGCCACGAATCTTGTAAGTTCCCTGCCGAGCTGAGGCTGAAGCAGCAGCAGGGCCTGGGCACCTGGGTCTGAGATCCGCCTCAGCTTCCTGCTAACTCCAGAGCCTGCATCTGCTGAGTGCCTTTCGGGTCTGTGAGCCTGGGGCTGCGGATTAGGGGTGACAGTGTATTCCTAGCTTGTGAAATCTAGGGGATTGAGAAAAAAAAACAATCTGAAGCCTTAAGCCTGAAGACCTCTTGCTTTTCTTAGATCTTTGTCGTTGTGTTCCACAGCTTAATACCTGACAGGTTCCAATAACTCACAGAATATTTACATTTTCAACTGCAAACCGTTTCCAGTCAGTATGTCCATCCCTGGGAACAAATGCTATGTACAGACACCTAGAGCTGGAGTGCTGGGATCATATTACAAATTCAGAGTACGTACTTGAGTGTACATGCAAATACAAATTGGCAGCCTTTGGGGGGTGGGTTGAGACAGGGATTCCCTGTGGTTCAAATGGACCTTACACTAACTCACTGTGTGGCCCAGATGGGCCTTGAGCTCACATCAGTCCTCCCACCTCAGTTTCCCAAGCACTGGGATTATAGAGCTACACCCAGCTGTTGGTACCTGTTAAATTGTAAACACAGAATAAATGAACTATAGTTTTAAGGGTCCTTATGGGTTTTAGTCTCGTGCATAGTTCTTAAGGAAATGAGTTGAGCCAGTACAGGTACTATTGGAGGGACTGGAGGTTTATGCTCAGTGGCACAGCACCTGCCTGGTAAGTTTGATTCCCAGTACCCCCCAACAAAAAATATTCAACCCTCTCCCTTGGGAGGCTGAGGCAGGATTGCAAATTTGAGTCCAGCCCTGCAGCTTAGGAAGTTGGTGAGACCATGTCTCTTGGTGAAGAGACTGGAGATATAATTCAACGCAAAGGTCCTGTGCTCGGTGCCCAGGACCACAAAGACTAAACAGCACTACGGGAAAGGGGGTGGCCCCTCACTTAGCATGGCATCTCTTTGCCCATGCTGCCTGCCACCATGGGTGGGTTGAGGTGGGAATTAAAGCTGCCGAGCTGCTCCAGCAGGTGCAGGGGGCACCAGAAAGCTGTGTCTTTGCCCTGCCCTCTGGCAGCCCCTCACGGCTCAGGGCTCTCGGCAGGCAGCTGAGGGGAGTAGGGAATGTGCTCCTGGGCTCAGTGCCTGTGCTGTGGCCACCAGAAGGCTGAGGTTTGCAGGCTGGGTGACATGAGAAGCAGGTACCCAGTGACCATGGACCCCTCTCTGGAGCTCTCTGCTGGCCATTCCTCCTGCATATTTTCCTGACCGCTGGTACTGTCTTTCTCTCCCAAAGGGCACTCGAGGCCAGCACTGTGATGCCTCCTCCCCATGTAGCCCCAGCATACGGCCTGTGCTGAAGAGACCAGAGCGGTGGCAGGAGGACTCGCCTCGGGGAAACATGAAGCGGAGAAGGAGTGCAGCAGGGGCCAGCCCACAGGAGACCCCAGAGGTGAGGAGAGGGCCACTTGTGATTGCCTGTGTGTGTGTATACACACATGTGTGTATTTGTTTGCTTTTGAGACAAGGTCATTATGTAGTTCAGGCTGCCTTTGAGCTCATTATGTAGCCCAGGCTGGCCTCAAGCTCAAGGCAACCCTCCTAGTCTCAGCCTCCCAAGTGCTGCGATTATATAGGCATGCACCATCACATCCAGCTAGGATGATTGTATTTCAGTGGTGGAGCACTTGCTGGTATTCTGAGCCTGAGAGTTCAGTGCCCAGCACCATAAATGTATGTATGTATGTATGTATGTATTTAAATGAGAAAAGAGGGCTGAGGCTATAGCTCAATTCAGCCTGAGACAAGGCCCTCAATTTGATTCATGATACTAAAAAAAAAATTTCACCTGTACTCAGTTGTCAAGTTCAGCATATCTAATTCTAATTTTTCCAGTTACTTAACTGCATTTGTTTTTACATACGAGCCTAGGTATTTTCTATCATGAACATCCCTGCAGAACCACAAATCTAAATCTAAACCTGGTTTCCAGATTTGTGTTTTGTTTTGTTTTTAAGACAGGGTTTTGGGGGCTGGGGATTTAGCTCAGCGGCATAAGCACCTGCCTTGCAAGCAGGTGGTCGTGAGTTCGATCCCCAGTACCGATAAAAATGAAAAAGACAAAAAAAAAAAAAAAAAAAAAAAGACAGGGTCTTACTATATACTCCAGACTGGCCTTGAACTTGCGGTGATCCTCCTGCTTCAGCTTCCCTGGTACTGGATTTACAAGCGTGGGTTACCACACCGGCCTGGTTTCTAGTTCTTATTTTTGGGGAAGTACAAGGTGTTTCAGGGCATATGTCCTGAACCCATGTTCATGGCTTGGGACTCCAGGACAAGTTGTTGGAAAGGAAGATTTGTGAGGGGCTAGAAACATGGCGTTCTACCATGGTTGTAGAGAAGTGTCAGATAAGTGTCAGTTGTACCAGGGTTGTAGGGAAGTGTCAGATAGGTGGGCACCAGGGTGACTGTACATTTTAGGTGGTTGATAGGCATTGCCATGTTAGTCCATAATCCCAGCACATGGGAGGCTGAAGCAGGAGGGTCGCTGTGAGTTGACGCCAGTATGAACTGCAAAGTAAAACCCTGTCTCAAAAAGACCAACCTGACCTATGTAATCAGATCCTGGCTCAAAAAAAATGTTAGGTACTTTGTTTTTCGCACTTCCCGGCCCCTGGAGGTTGTGAGTTCTACAAAGCCAAAGGAAAGCTGCTGATTGAAAACCTCTCCTGTCTTTTTAGTTCCTTTCCCCAGGAGCAGTCCTGTCGCTGTTAGGCATCTTTTATCCAGGGACCTGAGGATACCAAAAGACTACTTTTCCTCTTTTCCCGGGGAGAGTGAGGGCCCCAAACCCCAGGACAGGAGAGAGAACCTTTGCTAATGGCTTCACTTAGTCTTGTTGGCTACAGCAAAGCTTCTGAGGCACTAATGCATTACTGAGCTCTGCAACTTTCAAAGTTAGTGATTTGGGGCCTGGCTTGGTGTCACACTCTTGGAATCCCAGCACTCGGGAGGCTGAGGCAGGAGGATTGCCGTGAGTTCAAGGTCACCCTGGGCTATATAGTGAGAGCCTTTCTTTTTTTAAAAAAAAAAACAAAAACAAAAACTTAGATTTCTTCCTTTTCTTTTTGTCGTAAGGATTGAACCCATGGCCTTTTTCCCTGAACTACATCCCCAGCTCTTTTTATTTTGAGGGAGGGTCTTGCTCCGTTGCTTGACCCTGCAGTCTACCTTCCTTTGTCTCCCAGATTGCTAGGCTTATGGGCTGGCACCCCTGCACCTGGCTGGCATGTGCAAAAGAGGGTTCTGGGGATCGAGCCCAAGCTCTCACGCATCCTAGGCAAGCCTTGTCTACATGGCCCACATCCCCAGCCTCATGTCACTCTTTGGAAACCCTCATTAAATGAAGTGATGAATCTGGGCACCAGACAGCAGCTGCCCAACTCTGTTCCCTGATCAAAGTGGACACTGTCCCCAGGAGACAGCTGGATCTAACCGAGCCCCTCTAGAGTACAGGCTCACAGGTCCTGGGGGGCGAGAGACAGCAGTAGATGCCACCAGCACCTGCAGAGGACAGAGGCTCAGTTCTTCCATGTCCCACCTACCCTACCCAGCAACCTGCTGCAGGGTACCGGCCTTCCTAAGAAGGGACATCAGACATGCAGGCCTGCACCCAGTGTGTGGGCTGCCGCGGGAGGAGGATCGTGCATTTGAGCCCAGCCTGGGCAGCCTAGGGTTGACCCCAGGTCCTTTGCACTGAGCTGCTGCTTTTCCACACTGATTCCTCTCCCTGCCCCCGCCCCTGTCCACCCCCTTCAGCCAGATAAGGAAAACTGACCTGCTGGGTTCAGCCACAGTCTGGCGTCTTAGGAAGTTCTACCCAGAACCCTGGCCTCACTGTCTCTACCTTTGATTTATTCCAGATTCTGCGGCATTCTTTAGCCCTGGTGCCCTCCCCCAAAGGAACCATTGAGAACATCCTGGACAGTGACCCCCGGGACCTCATAGGTGACTTCTCCAAGGTACCTGCATGCCAGTACTCACTTTGGCTGAGTGACAGGCAGCCAAAGGCCCGTCGGGGCCTGCAGGCCACCTGGCCTCCAGGATCCTGCTGGCCTGGCGCACTCGGCTTCATTTTATTCTGTTTTGGTTTCTTAGGGTTATCTCTTTCATACAGTGGCAGGGAAGCATCAGGACCTGAAGTACATTTCTCCGGAGATCGTAAGTGAGCCTTTGGGGAACCTGCCCCACACAGGCTCCCAGTGTCCTTCTGCCGGCAGCACTGTCACTTCCTTCTGTCCCCCACAGATGGCATCTGTCCTGAATGGCAAGTTCGCCAGCCTCATCAAGGAGTTTGTCATCATCGACTGCCGATACCCATATGAGTATGAGGGAGGCCACATCAAGGTGGGCTTCCGGGCGCATTAGGCGGGGCACGGGTGGCAGCTATGGTCCAGGGAGACCCTGTCTCAAAACAAAGACCGCATGGTAGGGGTGACAGCCTCAGCTGCAGGACCCAAGAGGAGTGAGCATTCCTCTGCGGCGCCCGGGCTGTAGACCTCCCAGCCCGGTCTCCAAGGTCTCAATGCCACCAGGCCACCAACTTGGGGGTGGGGCCATGCGTTTCTGGGAGGAGGAGCTGGCTGTGCCGTGAATCTGCACCCAGTGAGTGTGTGAGCTTGCTAAGCGCTGTGTGTGTTTGCTGCTTGTGAAAGCCCTGGGAGTGACAGGCTCTGCCCTTGAGGGAACAGATTCAGAGGCCGGTCCTGGCTCAAGCGTGTCACATAGGGCCGCAGCACTATGAATCAGGGCCCCCAGTCACAGTGCCCTGCGTGCAGCCTGCCGGCCACGGGGCACTCAGAGACTCGGCCTTCCTGCAGGGTGCTGTGAACCTGCACATGGAGGAGGAGGTGGAGGACTTCCTGCTGAAGAAGCCCATCGTGCCCACTGACGGCCGGCGTGTCATCGTCGTGTTCCACTGCGAGTTTTCTTCTGAGAGGGGCCCTCGTATGTGAGTCCACAGCCACCTCTGATGCCCCACCACTCGGAGGCTGAGGCAGGAAGGTCATGAGCTCCCACCCACCCTGGGCAATGTAGTTGTGAGACTCCATCTCAAATAAATGAAAACAAGGCTGAGGAATGGGTGATTCCCCAACTCTTACGCACTCACCAACCAGCTCCCTTGGTGGCTGCCAACTCCCATGTAGTTTGTGGGCTGCACTTGGCCCAGTCTGGTCCTGTGGTGACAGTGGTGCCAGGCAGCTATAGGTCTGGCCTCTGCTGTGAGTCCTGCAGGTCGCACTTTAGTCCCTGCCATTGCTGCCGGCCGGGGAAGTTGGAGGGAGTGCGGGGACAGTGACAGGTTGGAGGGCCCCAGAGGACTTGGTGTCACGCAAGGCTGGGCAGCAAGGAGCCACGCACAGGGGCCAGGGCTGGTCCCTTGGAGGAGGGGCGGCCCTGCACTACCTGCTGCAGCCCTGTAGATGGGTGACCGCTGCCTCTCCCCTAGGTGCCGCTATGTGAGGGAGCGAGATCGACTAGGCAACGAGTACCCCAAGCTGCACTACCCCGAGCTGTACGTCCTCAAGGGTGGCTACAAGGAGTTCTTCCTCAAGTGCCAGGTGAGTGCACGGCCTGCCCTGCAGTGGCCTTGGCCCCAGGCCACCGCGGGGCCTGACCATGTCCCCTTCCCAGGCATACTGTGAGCCGCCCAGCTACCGGCCCATGCACCACGAGGACTTCAAGGAGGACCTGAAGAAGTTCCGCACCAAGAGTCGCACCTGGGCAGGCGAGCGCAGCAAGCGGGAGATGTACAGCCGGCTGAAGAAGCTCTGAGCCCCTTCGGTGGCCTGATGTCCCTGTGCCACCGACACCCCAGCACGTGGCCTGGAAGAGACAGCCTGGCCCATCTCAGACCCACTCTCCCGAGGGCCCAGGGCATCTGACCGGCGGTGCCCCAGCCGTTCCCCCTGAGCCATCTGCCAGGGCCTTGAAGGGCTGTGCCTGCCTGAGCAGCAGGAACCTGGCCCGGACCACTGCCTCCAGCTGACACCAAAGACACCTGAGGAGCATGCAGGGGTTTAATTTATTCAACTTCATCAATTATTTTATTTTATTTTAATTTTTTAACTCCTGGGGACTTTTACTTTATTGCTCGTTAAGTCACAGTACTGCCATTCCGGGAAGGGGTTCGGTATTAGGGGGGCCTCTGCTTTTCATTAAAGAGGAAGGGTTAGTGTGGAGCCCTGTCGGGAGGCGCTGGCCTGGGGCACCAGGGCACAAGCTAATGGCCAGGATCTCCTGGACACTTGGCCTGGGCTGTGTCTGAGTAGTGACCCTCTGAGCAGACAATGCCTCAGGTTTCAGGGCCCCAAGGGAAGGAGTGTCTTGTGTGGATCGTGTTGGGTGGGTCCCCTGTGGGTAGGATGGCTCTCCCAGACTGTGTCTCAAAGTGACACTTGGGTTTATCATGTTTCAATTGGAGGGGGAGGGATGGATTGGCACCAGTTCCCCCTCGTCTAGCCCTGTGGAAGCGAGGTGTCCACTGCTGCCCGCCTCGACAGGTCCCCACAGCATCGCACCCCAGCCTCCTATCACTGTCCTGAAGTGGTGACACTGGAGGTGGTGGCAGCGGCGACGGGTTTCCTTCAGATCTGGCTGTAAAAGAATCTTGTTGAGAAATAGGTGGGGGGTGGGAGGGAAAGGGCCTGTCCCTGTCCCCGCCATAGCCTGGGGGGCTCTAGTCTCCCTGGCAGGGACTCCGTTGGTTGCACTCAGCCTCTCTTAGCTGTTGTGACCAACTGTCAGGCTCTGAAAATAAATGTGACCTTGAACCCATGCCCTCTGCCTGCTTCTTGGTGAGCTCAGGGATTGTTTCCCTTAAACTTCTGGGACTCCACTAAGAGCGTGTGCATGCCTGGCATCTCCACACCTAGCTCAGGGCCCATTTTAATCATAACAAAATGCTTAGCAAGACTTTCCAAAAAAAAAGGAAAGCCAGGGATTTTTCTCAGCAGCATAATGCCTGCTTGGCAAGTGCAATCCCTGGTGAGTTCAATCCCTGGTACAAAAGTAAAGTGGTGTTCTGCTGTTACCAAAGCACTTGGGAGTCTGAGGCAGAAAGCTTGTTGATAGCTAGCCTGGGCTACACCATGAGACCCTAAGTAGGTGTACCGACCGTTTCTGCTGATGCACAGCATTCTGGCTGATATCCCTGCTTCCCAGGGTGGCTGGGCAGGTGTGGGCCCTGTGCTGTCCTGGGGGCCTCAGTAGGATTGTTCCCTAGGACAGCTGCTGCCTCCACCTCAGAAGCGGTGCCTTGCATGTAGTCAGTTGGCCTCCCCAGAAAGGCACCCTCCTGGTTCTGGGGCCTTTGCTGCCCACAGCCTGGCTTGTCACAGCCGGAGGCCTTCAGTGCGGCTGCCTCACTGTAGAGAAACACTTGAACGCCCAGGGAGGTGTCTACCATGTTACTGTGGTCATGCAAAGTGGGGTCCTCTGGCTCTGGGAAAACAAATTACAAGCATGAGAACAACAGCTCTCTGTAGCCCAAGTAAGAACAGGTGCCATAGGGCTGGGTATTTAGCTTGGCATAAGCACCTCCCTAGTGAGCACAAGGTTGTGAGCTCTATCCCTGGTGCCAAAAAAAAAAAGTGCCAGGCTCTCCCTGACTCATTTTTTTCTTTTCCAACTCATTCTAAGCTCGTCTTCCCTGTTCCCATCAACTAGTCCTTCCTAGGCACTCTGGTTGTTTGGGTTGTTGGATTGGGTTTTTCTTTTTTAACTTTTTGAGGCAAGTATAAGGCCTCTCTTGTTTTCAGACTACATAAATCCCAGTATAGGGGGCTGAGGCAGGAGGAATGTGGTGAGTTTGAGGGCAGCCTGGGTTCCACAGTGAGAAGGTATCAAAAAACATCTCTGCGAGCACGCCTGTTATCCCAGCACTCAGGAGGCTGAGGTGGGAGGATTCCTGTTTGTTCGAGGCCAGCCTGGGTTACAAAGTGAGTTCTGGCCAGTGGAAGGTCCTGAGTTCAACTCCTGATACCAAATGAAAAAAAAAAAAAATCCTGAACTGCATAGTGAGACCCTGTTTCAAAAAGACAAAAACAAGTCCATTTGTGTCTGCGCACCTGCAACGCTGATGCTGATCCTAACCTTTTCTCGGGAGGGCAGAGGGGAAGCAGAGACGGCAGTGCAGGGCGCCCCAGCAGAGATGCCTGCAGGTGTCCCCCCGCCCTCCGGGTGACAGGCAGACAACTGAACTCTGCAGCTGGCCCTGCCCAGCTTGCTTCCGGTGCCGGGCTGAACCCAGATCCCTCACGGGGGCGGGGGGTTACATCCCCACGCCCTGAGCAGTGAGAATAAGATGCACGGAAGATGCAGGCTTCCCCTGGAGGAGTTTACCAAGTAGGGAGAGCTCAAAAATGAGGCGTCCTTAGCTCCTACAGTAAAAAAAAAAGTGCAAGGAGGTTTTAGGAACAATTCACAAATTTGAACTATGAAGCCAGGTGTGGTAGCACACACCTGGAATCACAGCAGTCAGGAGGCTGAAGCAGGAGGATCACAAATTCTAGCCCAGCCTGGGCAACTTGGCTTGACCCTGCCTCAGGAGTTGAGGGTGTAGCTCGATGGAAAACCCCGGCTTCAATCCCCGGGACTACGGAAAACAAAAAAGACCTTGTTCATTCCGATTCCCAATGTCTCCCCGGCCGACAGGAGGACAAAGGGTCCAGCTGTGCTGGGAGCCAAGGCCCCCAACCGCCCGCAGGCGTCCTGCGGCCCCCTGATTTTCTCCACGGTGCACGGCTGTCTCCCGCCACCAGATGGCAGTAGTGCCCAGGGTGTGTCTGGCATCGGTCTTCCCGGATCCCGCGCCTGGTGAGGTGGGCTCATAGCACGTCCCGGCTCCCGGCAGTGAGTCGTGGGCTGGATTTGGGTGCTGGGGATGGCGCTCGGGCCCCCTGCACGAACGCAGCCAAGCGTGCTGCCCCTAAGCTACACCTGGGCCCCTCGGGCTTCATCCGGAGCGGCATGGTCCTGACTCTGGTGAGTCACAAAATAAGGCTGGTGCCCTTGCATGCCCCTGACCAAATGCCCAGGAGGCCGAAGCAGGATTGTTGTGAATTCACGGCCAACGTGGGCTACGTAGCAGGACGCTGTCAAATTAAAAAAAAAAAAAAATGGATTCTAGGGACACCTGAATCAAACGTTTGTGCCTTGGCTTGGTTTGATCTTGGTTTCCTTGTGGATTTGCAGCACTCGGTCCTCTGTGTGACTAATGTCCTTTGATTCTCACCAGTTGAAATGTACCCCATTTTAGGATTGGGATACCCATGCTCAGGCACATGGCATCTTGGCTGACTAGTCCAGTGTCCTACGAAGGCCTGTTATGGTCTGTTTCCTTTTGTTTTTTGAGACACGCTCTTGCTGTGTACTTGGCTGGCCTAGAACTTGCCTCAGCCTCCCAAATGTTGGTAATACAAGCGTGCCCACCTCCCAACAGGCAGTTTTGAATAAAGAGAGGTGTAATGCCACTTGGTCCAACTTTGAGAAGGGAAAGAAACTGTCCTGCACCTGGGAGGAGCCACCTGCTGGTGACTCATGCTCTCTGGCAGCTGGGGCTCCTTTCCTGGAGCGTTTTTGGTCTGGAGCAGATCTAGACCAGTTCCTGCCCTGACTCAGCTGCAGGGTTTGGGAGACACCTTGCTCCCTGCCCCACACCTGCCCTGCACCTGGAGAGCAGGAGGAGCGGGCGGGTGGAAACTCAGGCCTCACCAGCCTGGCATTTGCCGGTCCCCAAACAGCTGGGTGTGCAGGGTGAGGAAGGTGAGTCCTAGCAGCTGCCTTGCCACCCAGCTTGGTAGGGGAGCCAGCAGGACAGGGCTAGGACAGGGTGTGGCCACTGCTCTCCAAGCTCTGAGGCTTGTGCAGACATCTGGCTGACTCAGGACAGCCAGATGCACTGACAGATGTGGACTGACCCACAGCACAGGTGGCTGAGCCTCTCGGACCAGAGGATTTCAGGAGCAATTGAGCAGATGAGAGAGTGGGTGGCTGGAAACTTGGGATTCATTACCCCTAACATGCAGGTAAGTAGGGAGCTGGTTGCGGAATTACAGTGTGACCAAAAACCATAGGGAATACTTAAAAAGTTATACAGTAAGAGACACAGTGCCTTGAACTCCTTTCAGATCTCACACACTCATCCCACCTCCCCACCTGCCACTCTGCAGCCACTCTGGAGGCCTCTTTCCTCCGGGTCTGGAGTTGCACACTGGCCTGGCTGCCTCAGTGACCTGAATCAGAGCATTGACCTTTCAGGGTCACACTGACTGGGAAGAGGGAGAGATCACATGGTGCCCATGCAGTCAGTAAGGAGGACAAGGACCCAGCATCACAGTTTTCTGAGCTGTCTTCCCATGGATGACACTGGGCGGCGGCAGTCACTGTATTTTTGGTCACACTTTATGAGGACCCTCAGGAAACAGCACTCTAGAGCTGCTGGGGAAGGCAGCGGGGATGATGGGGTGAGGGTGCTCTCAAAGTGAGGGGCAAGATTTTGAGGTGTCTTTTTACTGTAATATACTTGCTGTAGGTGAGCAAAAAGCATTTTTATAGACACATTCCATGTCTGTATTTTAGTCATCCATATAAGTGACCTAATACATAGAAGTACTTGACCCAATTCACTAAGTACTGAAAGGTAAGTGTGATTATTAGGAGTCCAGACCGGGGTGGGGCAGGGCAGGTTCAGTTTCTGATTCACCTGTTACCCCATTCCTGAGCCCATTTTGGGGGCAGACTTGCAAGCCGGAGGTGCCGGCTGCCCAGCCAGGGTCTGGTCCACTCGGGGCTTCCCCAGGGCCAGGAACTGACATCTGTCCCTGCAAGCGACCTTCCCAGTGGCTGCCCCCAGACCCTGTTCTTGTCCTGCAGCCAGCCATCCCTCCCTGATTCAAGCACCCAGGCCTCTGTCTGCTCAGCCAGCATCCCCAAGCGCTCTCTGAGCTGGGGGTGGTATCACTGTGGAAGGGGACAGGGACTTTCATGAACCAGGGACAGGTGCTGGCTGAAGTGAAAGCCAGCCTGGAGAACCCCGAGGGAACACCGCCTCCCGGCCAGCTGTTTACCAGGCACCACCCCAGCCTCCAGCACCAGCAGAGACCACCCTGGAGGGGTGGCTTCCTCTGTGGGGATTTCCTTGAGGCACTAGGTGTTCTGACTGTTCTGACCCTCTGACCCGGGGCGGGAAGCCTGTGGCCACATTGCAGATCCAGGTGTTGGATTAAGATCTGAAGAGAGGCTGGATGTAGTGGTGCACACACTACTATAAACCCAATGCCCTGGAGGCTGAAGCAGGAAGATCCCATTGCCACCAGCTGTAGGCTACCTAGTAGTCAGCTCAAGGCCAGCCTGAACTGCATCAAGGGACCCTGTCTGGGAAACAAAAACAAAAACAAAATCAGCAGAGAGAACTCCTTAATTCCATTCCCTGTTCCCCAGCTCTGAGTCCCTCCTCCCTAGGGGAAGGGCTAGCTTTCTGTCTGAAGGTCATAGCAAGGGCTCAGTTCCTCTCAGTGGCCTGCTGCTGGCCTTTCCTGCTCACTTCCGGCCTCAGGTCATCCTCCCATCCTGCCACATTCCTCAGCAAGCTGCCTGGAGACAGTGACAGAGTCCTGGACATGCCTTCTAGAAGCACCTTTTCCTCCCTGTCACAGTTGAATTCCACCTGTCTCCAGTGTCAAGCTGGCTCCTCTCCAAAACTCTTCAGGCTCTGCAAAGGGCAAGAAGCCCTCCCTCTGTTCTCTCCAGCTTTTCTGTGCAGGGTGCTACTGTGA